GACTTCATGCTAACTTTAGTTAATATCTCAAGGCAGAATATGCACTTAAGACAAGGGAAATTGCTAATATCATAGGATATAAACCCACACTGCAATATTGATAATTGTAAATAATTATCTTTGACTAGATAATCACTGTTGTGCCTCATATTTTGACTAATGAAGAGCAAACACTAGGAGTAGGCAAACTGCACTTAGGCTTGACTCAGTACTCTCTTCAATAAATGATTTCTTTGCAGGAGTCTTTGATCACTAGATAACATCCACAAATCCTCTTATCCAAACACAAGTCAACTCCGAAATGATATAATATGACAAATGTGAACTTTGAAGTGAGGTTACTACTTGCAACAACCTTTCATGTCTCCCTCAGAAGGCCTCACATAACAAAGGGCAACAGTGTCAATCTGTAAATTTGATATTAGTTCGATTTTTATAAATTCACAGGGATACATGCTAACATTTTCCTTCTATGTCCCACAGAGTATCTTGCAGACACTGGAGTAAGTACACCCTTTTTTTTAAAATGCTACTTTAGAGGATTTGTTCACATAATGCTCAGTTCTCCCCCTGCCCAAAAGAAACTTTTAACATTTTCTTCTAGAACAAAGTTCTAACAGTTAAAGAGTCAACATACCTTTAACTTTTTTTCTAGTTTCATCATCAGCAGTTTTAGTAGTTGGGTTGTTAAATGCTTTTAGAATGCTAGCTTGTATTCTCTGTAAGACAAAGTTAATAGAATCTGGTCTAATAATAGTTAACTCAGGACTCCTGCTCTTAGTAAAAGGACTTTCAAACAACAAGGTAGGTACACTGTGGATAACAGTTCCCTAGTCCGAAAATAAAATGACTGAATTAAAAAAAAATATGTCCTTTCTTCCAGTTCTAAAATTCCATGAATGAACAACTCCCTAATGCCAAATCCTCCCAAGGGACAAAATTCCTATGTTTAGGGTCTCTCTTGGGTTTAAAGTATTTTTATCATTCAGTCTACAAAAAGCAAGCAGCCACCCATTCCCTCTCTCTCCCACTCTCAAAAATGACTTTTTTTTTTTTTTTTTTTCCAAAGATGGAGCCTCCCTCTGTCACCCCACAGTATAGTGCAGTGGCACAATCATAGCTCACTGTAGTCTCCAACTCCTGGGCTCAAGCGATCTTCTTGCCTCAGCCTCTGGAGTAGCTGGAACTACAGGTGGGGCCACCATGCTCAGCTAATTTAAAA